TATGCGTTTTTGCTGGCTGTAGCAGCGCTATAGCGCTGCTATAGCGCTGCACAGCAAAACGCATAATAAAAATGCGAAATGATAAAAACGAAAATAATGAAGCCAAAAATAGTATTCTTGTTTTGTCAGTGAAATGCAGTCAAACACATCTCCAGTTGAAAGCACCCGATGCGTCATCCTAGCGCAAAAGACTGCCTGCGTAATGGCCATTCAAATTTTTTTGTTTATCGCTATCAGTGGGTGAAGTTTAGGAATATAAGGCCAGGGCAGGCGAGTACCGCAGAATTCCAGTGAATAACCAGTAAAATCAGCAAGTGTCTGCATGCACTCCAGCAAACTGAACTGAAAGCAAGAAAACAGCGACATAATGGCAATATTGCTCAAAGAGAGATCTACAGATAGCGAAACTGAAAAGTCCGATTCTCATCTAGACACAGTTTTGAAAGATGCAGGATCTGGCTAATTTGCACTGTGGTTCTGGTCGCATCTCTATAATGCTAAACCGTTAAATCGAGCAAACTTATCTGGTGATTAAATCACGACTTTGAGGTTGCTTACCCAGACCACGAATTAGGACAGGCGGTTTCAGAACGTAGCCACAGTTGCCGTTTATCCGAAACAGTCCCGCACTGAGATCCATGTTTTCATCATAAGTCTGCATATTTAGTGCAACCGATTGTACTCCGGCGATCCAGGACTGCATTGGGCAGAAATTGCTGGAATCCTGGCGAAGGCCTTTTGGATATGATTTCACAAAATGCTTTGACGTATAGGCAGCAAGCAAAGCCTCGCTTTCTTCACCAAGTTTCTTTACTTTCGTTTCCGAAAGCGACGCCGATTCATTTACCCCATCTGCAATTGTTGCCCGTGATAATGACACGACAACGACGATGAAGATATGATCATAGTGATAGTAACATATACTATCTACTCGCTTAAGTAAGTAACTGAATTGGATTTTCTCCCTTCTGTTGGCTTTCTTTTTTTGGATGCACAACAAGAAAGTAATTTGAAGAGCGAAGTACTTGACTTATCGTCTTCACTACAAGTATCAGTCCTTCTAACGAGCATTGACTTGTTCGAATTTTGTCTTCAAGCATCAATGATCAAGCCATCTTTACTCTGCTTCATGAAGTTTTCTGAGGAAAAGATGATCGACGTCCTTCCTGCTTCCAGTCCAGACGTGGATGAGAAATCGCTTGAAGGAGGAAAAGCAGAGGAATGGAAATACGCACTAAAGAAGCGGAAGATTACTACGGCTACCCAGAATAATGGATTTCTGTGGAGCAGTTGCAACGGGTTTTCCGGAATGCTGACAGTTACCGCTGCAGTTGCGGCAGCACAGTATTGTATTTAGCTGTTGCTGAAACATAAAGGTTATTATTTGGAAGAGCAGCTAGCGAAGTGAAAATGACCAACGTTTGTCGATATCACCACGTAAGCAGCGTGTCAGTTTCACTTGAGATAGTGAGATGAGTTTCGAGAGATCCGGATGAACGTACTTGTTTTCGGGTGCTGCTGAAGCCTCATCATCATCCTCCCTGCCCTCATCCACACCTGTCACAGCTGCCAGCACTCGCTTACCGCGTAGAAGGTATTTGTGCTTGAGTTGACTTGGTGACGGCAGTTCTGTGAGTGGCTCATTCTCTGGGATCATATAAATATCGTCCCCTAAAATCTGAAACCTAGCACAGTACCTACTCTTTGAAATACGTGCGTACCACTTTCCATCGGAGAAGTAGCTATCGGTTTTGCAACCATAAAAGAAGTGATATCTCGCGTATGAATGACGGGTATCATTGACAGAAGATTCAAGCGCCCGTGAAACCTAGTGCTTAATGGCGCATTTACGGCTGCTTGCAGCTGAAAACACACAGGAATTTTCTTACCTAAAGAACACTTAGAAAAAAAATTCTGAAGTTACGTGTTTACTTCGACGAACGCTCGGGCCATGGCTTCTTGCTGTTGTAAGCTGCAGTGATTCTCGATTGTCAGGATGAGCGGGTACGGGCTGTATCTAAATGCATAACTCTTGATGGCTTGCAGAGCATCTCTGAGAAATATCGACGCCACCAGCGTACCGCGATGAGTGATGCACGGCTCCCCGCTTGCGCCATCCAGAACGTCCACTAAACATCTGAATTAATTAGGTGCATACGCTTCTGTCACAACTCAAAAGAGATGTTCATTTTGTGCGTAGTGACGCTGCCAGGATTTTTACCAAAAGGATTTGGCAAGAGCCATTTTTATCATCTCGCAGCAGCAGCAGCAGCAGAATGAAAACATTTTTAATTATAACTAACTAGGAAACAAAGCAGTGCGCAAACTTCTTTGTACACTTTGGTGACCAGATACTCCTGGCGTGCCGTAAGCAAATAAGCCAACAAACGTCGACTTCTAATTTTATTGTAATCTATGCATCCCATAAAAAGCACCAAAGTTCCGGAATTGTGATTTGCTTCGTTCCATTTCAGAAAATACGATCATGGGCAAGAGTACAGCGGAATTTATAGGCAAAATTCGTGTCGTTTTTCTTTTATTATTCGATGAATTAAAGCGCCAGTTTTAATTATTTATATTTTGGTCGTAGAATGATAAGATCAGTTAGAGTTTAGATATGAGGTCATAGGCTAGGACAAAACAAAGCTTGAA